AACGTAAAATAAACTAAAGCTAAATTTACTAAACCTAAACACACGCAGAACACCCAACCTCACGCTTCACTCTTCTTCTCCAAACCTTCCTCTCTCTCATTCTCACGCACGCACACGACGCCACTCTCAACGCCGGCGAGAGCACCAACTAAACCCGACTAGGGGCTAAACCCCCTAAGGTAAACGTTCTACCCTTTACTTCTCTCTATTTCCTCTTCTTCTTTTTATCGATCGAGATCCTAAACCCAAAGCCTCCCTATATACTTCCTAACACAGATCTAAGCTTAGCAGTGGACATGCAAAGATCTAAGGGCCATTAAACCCTTCGAATACTCACCCCGATGATGACCCCGGCGAGGCTCGTCCTTTTATTTCCAGCGATGCTCGGAATTCTCCAACTTCCGGCGAAGACTCGAAAAAGAACACAAGTAAATTCCTTTTTTTATTCAGTTGGTTCGAACTCCCCTTTTGAATAATAATAAAAAACAAATAAAGATGTTTTTAAGGTTTTGTTTCTACTGCCTTATATTCATTGCATTTTCTTCATATCCGGGAAGAAGACCTTGTTACATTGCTTGTCCATACAAAAAATGGGAAATCGACCTTCGAAAATTGCTTCTCTCGAATACTAAACAATGGAAGATCAAAATCCCTTTACCCACTGTTTACAATTTTTTTTCTGTTGAAAAACCAAGCCCTCCGTTTACAATTTTCATCCGGAGTTTTAATACCCCTTAACAACATTTTCCCTATCCTCTGTTGAAAAATCGAGAACCCTTCGAACCCTCTGTTTGTTGATGAAATCCCCCTCCTCTGCCCGAATGATTGCCTCCGTATTTATGGTTGTTTCTAATCAACCTTTTCCTTGGATTAGTACTGAAGCAGGTATGTTTAACCCCGTAATTTTCGGGTTTTATTTTTATTTTGAAGGTTTAGGTAAAGGTTTGTCGAAACTCTTTGATTTTGGTGGATTTGTTGTAGGTTTCACGTGGGAGGCATGGTACTGGTCACTGATTTCATGTGGGAGGCAGCAGCTAAATGGGCTAAATGGGTCGGGTCTTGTAACTGAGTCTGGATTCGGGTCTTGGGCTTGAACCAACATTTTATAATTGGGTTGATATTTGTAACCGTGTATTGGGCCTGTAAAATATAATATGTAACATTAATAATAATAATAATAATAATATATTATAATATAATAGTTGTAATAATAATAATAATATAATATTTATAATTCGGATAAAAACGGGTGTCTATAATGAGGGGTTTATAAAATCCTTTTTGCAAAATATAAAGGGACTCTTAATTCAGAAAAAAGGAAAAACATATTGTAAAAGGGGCCTCTCTATTTTTTATCATTTGAAGCAAAACCACCAGAAAAAAATGAAATGAAAAGAAAAAGAGAGGGATAAAAGTTTACCTCTCGATTGGTATTGTTCACCGATGTTCGAGACCTTATTTAGGCAATCTAAACGGTGAGATGAAGCTCGATGGTGAGGGGAACAACATACTCTAAGATCAGCACGATCCAATGGTGGATGACAAAGATAGGATCGTTGAAAGCTAAGAGGTTCTCGACCTATTTCGCGATATTAGGGGTCATTTTTCACAAAAATCGAGCCCGGATCCATGACCAACGTGTCGAGGAGAGTCATCCATGAAGTTTTGGGCTTGATTGACCACCAGAGATGGTGGCCAGTATGGTGATTGACGGTGACCGGGACAACGTCTATCGCCAGCATTTAGATAGTGAAGAGATAGGGGAGAGCATTTTATGGGAGGAGAAAGAGAGAAGGAGAAAAAATGAGGAAAAAAAGAAAAGAAAAAGAGGTTTATATAACCCTATCAGACGTCGTCATTTTGGGCTTTTATATGCGCATTTAAGACCCGGAGTGTCTAACCCTCTCCGCGGTCCTTGTAACTATATTTCCTATTCAATTTGGTCATGTATTCTTCTTTTATTTCAATAATTTTTAATTTAATTGTCCTTACTTTTATATTTTCCCATTTTATTTTCAATATTAATATTTGGTTTATTTACTTTGAGGCCCCAAGGTTATCCGTGTTTTTACAAAATGTTCACCTATATGTCCTTTTTTATCTTAATTCGATATTAATGTCTTTATGTTGTTATTTTACATTTGTTTTGTTCATTGTTTATCCATAATTAAATTCATGGTTTATTCGTGTTGTAGCCCCTATACTTTTGTTGTTTTTTTTTGCATCATAGTTCTAGATCTTAAGCTTATTTATTTTATTTTAAATTTTGGTGCCCTAATTGCATGATTTTTTCCTTTTATGTTTATTCTTTAGTTTTCTAGGTTTGTAACACCCATTTCCCGTATATGTTTCCGTACACGAGTCACATATGTCACATGACTTTTGAAACATTTTTTTTACTTTTCGTTTTCTTTAGATAAAACAATTTAATAATATAGTTTATAAGACATTATTCAATTATATATATATATATATATTAAACACGTATACTCCAATTAGCAATACCAGATCATATTATCCATATTTAAAATCAGCATAAGACGATTCAGTTAATCTATTACAAACCAATTTCCAAAATATTTAAATAGAGCTAATAGGACATTCATAAGTACATGCCACTAAACTGAGTCAAAATTTCATCATAGGATGTCTTACTGATGTTGTAGTATATTCATTGATGCTTGTAGTTGCTTTGTACTCTCTACTTCTAATAATGGCTTTTACCTATATGTAAAAATCAATCGCACGCTAAGTATTCACTTAATGAGGCATAATAATAATGAAGTGAAATAAAAACATAAGTATATCATAAATATCAAAACACGAATTAACTCGTATAAATCATAATAATACATAAAGTTATCTTGGTAAACCAAGTTTCTTTCACATAAACTACAAAATGATATTTAATATGCCCATCATACTTATCAATCAGTATTTATCTAAATTATTCTTGTATTTGCTCAATATATGTTGAATGAGAATGCATGGTACATAAATTTGCACCTAAGTACCAATATGGAAATTCACAAACTCATTTTGAAATCCTTGGGGTGCACATATAGTGCCGATACGGTCATTCACAAACTCATTGTGAATTACGTAGGTTGCACACATAGTGTAAATACGGTAATTCACAAACTCATTATAAATTACTTATGTTGCACACATAGTGCCAATATAGAAATTCATAAACTCATTATGAATTTTGTGGGGTTGCACACATAGTGCCAATACAGAAATTCATAAACTCATTATGAATTTCGTGGGGTTGCACACACAGTGCCAATACGGAAATTCATAAACTCATTATGAATTTCGTGGGATTGCACACATAGTGCCAATACGAAAATTCATAAACTCATTTTGAATTTTGTGGGGTTGCACACATAGTGCCAATACGAAAATTCATAAACTCATTATGAATTTGGTGGGGTTGCACACATAGTGCCAATACGAAAATTCACAAACTCATTTTAAAATCCTTGGGGTGTACATATAGTGTCGATACGGTCATTCACAAACTCATTGTGAATTACGTAGCTTGCACAAATAATGTCAATACGGTAATTCACAAACTCATTATAAATTACTTAGGTTATACACATAGTGCCAATATAGAAATTCATAAACTCATTATGAATTTTGTGGGGTTGCACACATAGTGCCAATACGGAAATTCATAAAATCATTATGAATTTTGTGGGGTTGCACACACAGTGCCAATATGGAAATTCATAAACTCATTATGAATTTCGTGGGGTTGCACATATAGTGCCAATACGAAAATTCATAAACTCATTATGAATTTCGTGGGGTTGCACACATAGTGCCAATACAGAAATTCATAAACTCATTATGAATTTCGTGGGGTTGCACACATAGTGACAATACGAAAATTGCAACATATACATTAAACAATATGCATTTATGACTATCATAACATATAAGTACATAATAAATGCACTCACCTGGTTTGCCTTTCTATAATGCTCAAATGTAGTCCGACTATTCTATAACTTTATCCTTGCCTTTCTGTTTGCTTGACTCATGAGCTTGATTACGATCTACACAGCATTCATAATCACACATACAAATATGATGTTAGTATACTTACTAAAATTTATCCAAAGTATAATACTCAAAAGTACTATTAAATTCGAATTCTATTAAAATTCACCTAACTTAACATTTCAGACTGAATAGTATTGATACCCCTCATTTGGTATCGATACTTCTCTTCTATGGTACTGATACCCTCTTCGATATCGATACCATTCTAGCATTCTGGAATCCATTTTCCAATCACAGTATCTATACATTCTTCATGGTATCGATACCTCCACATCAGTATCGATACTACTTGTATCAGTATCAATATTGTTCATTGTGTTCATCATCTTTCCTAAAATTTAACCTTATAGTATCGGTACTGTTCTTACAATACCGATACCCTTACCCATATTTTACCTCTTTTTACTACTAGAAAAAACCCCTTTAATGACGCGCATTGCGCGTCATATATGGGTGCAGATGACACACAAATGCCTATCGTTGAAGCCACCAACATAAATATCAGATGACGCGCAATTGTGAGTCATAAATCTATGGCGTGCATTTATGACACGCATTTATGACGCGTATTTATGACGCACATTTATGACACTCATTGCACGTCATTGAAGCCCTCGTCATAAATGAAGATGACACACATGTATGACTTACATTGCGTGTCATTGAAGCACACGTCATTAAAAAAAATGACACACATTCTTGTGTCGTGATTGTATTTCGTAAATTATATATATATATATATATATATATATATATATATATAATATATATTAATGACAAATAATCATAAATACAAATATAATATAATATATATATATATATATATATATATATCATATTATATATAAGCAATCCATTTGCATACAATATATTCACATTAAGTTATCAAAAATATTATAATGGTTCTTAACTTTGGCTGATCAAAGTCAACATTTGAAACCCCCACACGCAAAAAGCCATAAAATGATAATTACAGCTCCTCCTACCATCAGTTTCATTTGCAGATTCTTCAGCCACATCCTTCGTCGCAGTTGTCGCCCTTGCCTCTGGAAGCTATCAGCCTGCGATATTATTACAAAACCATATATATATTATGATGCTTACCCAAACCCTAAACTAAACCATAAAAAGAAGATAACACCAACCTGGAATTGCAAGTTTTCTGTTTTGTCCACTAGAAGTTCAATCTTCTCCCCACGATCCAAAACCTGATCAGAAACGGAACTAGTGAACTGAACACTAGCTGTTACGCCATGGGAAAACATTCATTTCAGACATAGTCCCAAAATTTGGAATATGAACTTTTGGAATGAAAAGTTTTAGGTCTTGTTAAAGTAAATCCATTAAACTATATCTATGCATAGGCATGTGCACTACTGGCGGTAAAAAAACTCCAGAGCATCTGAAGGCACAAGTAGATATTTGGTTTGGTACTATAATTAGTTTGGACTGTGACCATACTGTATGTTACTAAACTAATGCACGAGAAAACTCATTCATACATGTCTGCTGCAGAAGTCAATGCTAGAGCAAGATGGCTTTTGCATCTCATATGACAATAACTATAAAATCACAATGTAAATTTCTTTAAAAACTAGTGATGATATTTGATGGTAGCCACTTTTCTTCTCTTTTTTCAGTAAATAAACAAAACAGAAGATTCAACCTTCAACAATCCACACCATTAGCATTAAAAATTAAGAAAATCTTTAGCTGATGGAAAATTCAACAAAATTTGTCTCTTATTATATTCACTAATAATTTACCTCTTATATAGAAGGCTTACAAATTATGAAATAAAACCCTATTTTCATAAATTAACAAGGAAAGCAAAATATCAGGAAAATATCCTAATTCATAAGTAAAGTTTATTTAAACCAATAAGGAAATTATAGGAAATAAAAATCAGAATCAAATCCCCTAAAATTGAAGCACCTAGAGCTAAGGAGAAACATTGCATAACCAAAAAGGCATTAATGCACCAAAACAATCTAGAAATATTCTTTATTACATACATAGTCATCACTCAGCACAGATGGGTGTATTTTGATGGCTAAGAACATCACCAAGAAAATCTTATCATCAACCAAACACTACTATATTCAAAGACTCGTCACAATCTAGTCAGCTATTCGTAAAAGTTAACCAAGACGTACCACCAGATTTACCATATAAACCAAACTTTATACCTGTAAGTTACTACCTCAACCAGAGACCTACCTCTGCTCCTTTATTGTCACATTGGCAACTACTTTTTTATGGGCTTTTATTTCAGTTAGACGTTAAAAATCTCATGTCAACTTTGAGGAAGAATGTCATGAGAAACCAATTAAATCCATTACTCAGGGGGAGTTAGAGCTAGTGTGTTATTTGAAGAAGACTTCACATATGTTAAAACAATATCCTAGGGAATCATTTTAGAGGTGCCATGAAGTTATCTATTGGCAAACAAAAAAAGACAGTTCTATTGTTTTACACATGGATGATATGGTCATTATTACTGATGATAGAGGAGGGATACAAGTATTGAAATAGCATCTTCAAACTAAATTTCATACCAAAGTTTTAGGGGATTAAAGATCTAAAATAGGGTTTAAGCAACAAAAGCCGATGATTATTTCCTGATAATCAAGAAGCTCATCATAAAGCCTCAAATCCAGAAATATTAATGTTACCCTACAACATAAGACATTTTCTTCCTCTTTTTTTCTTATATTAGGGGGTTATTGTTGATGAGAAGGGGGTTTTCTTCTTCTGATTGTCACCTATAGTTACTACCCCTGAAATTTTGAAATTCTCATGATCCGCATGAAATATGGAACCTAATGGTAATTTGAATACTAATAACAACAGTACATGAACGTTGAGAAAATAAACGACATAATAAGTTAAATATTTATAGGCAAGTTCAATGGTAGTAACCAAAGAAATCTGTATACCAGCCACTAGAAAGGAAGACTATTACAAAATACTTAAATCTCTACATTCAAAATAATACATCCATTTTTTCCACACTTGTACCACTTCTCAAGAAAATAAATACATACCTTTTCAATGTTATCCAACATAATCCCATTCACCTCAGTTACTTGAGCTTTTAATTTTGAGAGCTTACTAATTTCTTCTGGATGGTTCATGCAATATTGCATGTGCTCCTTAAGCCTTGGACTATTGTACATAGAAAGGCACTACAGGTTAGGATTATACTATCATATGTATGAACATCAAAGGATAACTGGACAAATGTAACAATTTAACCTTGCCAAGCATTTACTTACCCAAATTCTCGGTCAAGATTATATGCAACACTAAATCGATCCTCAAATAAGTCGTCATCGTCGTCATCATCAGTTAAAGGATGGGGACTCTCATTTCTTACACTCGCACCATATCGTTGTAACAAATCCATGCAGATGTTGGACTCAACAACAAAGATAAAAACATCATGAAAAATTAAGCAGGCAACAACACATAAAAATATGCCCTTTGATGTTAGCAGAAATGATTCTAAAGATGAAAAACTTTAAAGAACTTAAGTGATTGGTGAACGATTCAAAATGGCCTAATTATACAGTTCAAAATCGGATCAAACTTGTAGAAGTTCCAACAAAAATATAGTTCATGCTCAGGTCCAATCGCAGGAGAAGTCTAAACAAGTAAATTATAGTTGGAGAGGCTAGAATCAATACTGAAATTTACTTCATTCTTTTGTGCGATCTTGAGAATAACTTAACATTTCTCGATAAATTTCCAAGAGTAGAATTTAGTATTAAAAGGTGAACAAATTCAATCCAAAAGCATAAGCAATGGTTCATCCTATTAACTTCAAAGAAAATGAAATAAATTCATAGCACTTCTTTATCCCCATACACCAGAAGAAAAGAATATAAAAAACAGAAACATTGATTAATTAATTATCATCATAACCATTGATCCCAGGAAAAGGGTGTTTCACCAAACATCAGAAATACATATGCATTGGTAAATAAGAGACCCAAATTAAATGGATACAACTCCAGCATTAAAGGGAATTAGCCAAAAGATCGAGCCCAGTGAGTCAAATACAAATAACTCAGCACAGTTAAGTCCTCTAAACATTGTTTAAAGTTCTAGTTTACATTGCTAAAGTTATTTCAGCACTCAGCAACAACTCTTCTAATCTATACAAGTTAGAAATGGCCAGAAGAATCATATCAGAAGTTTGTTATTCGACAAATTATGTATAACAAAACAACAATCACATCTTTTTCATCTTTTCCTACTATTCAATCTAAAATCTCCAGAAGCAAGAATTCAACATTCCGTGTTCCCTACCAAAATAATTAACGATCCAAATCTACTCAAATTAACAACACCAATCGATCGCTTAAAATATTGAATTTCAATTTTTAAGGAATTCAAATTTGACAACGATGAAAAAACTAGATCCAATCGAGCAGTGGAAAGATAAGGCTGAGATCTCATCCCAAAGAACAAAAGAGGGAGAAAATATGGATTCAGCTTCGCAAGCTTACAAGTAAATAAATAAATCAGATTCCATGGCAAGTACTCAGGATCCAAATAAAAGGCAAACAAATAATTAGAATTTGGATAGAAAAATGACAAGAAAACCTTATTTTATATGCAATTTAATTTCAGGATTCTACTTACTCCTGCCGTTGAGCCCTGTAAAACAATTGAGGAAATAAATTAAGAGAGACAGTTGCTTTTAATTTCCTACGAAATCTTCTTCTCTGTATTCTTTTGCCATTTTCCAAATCCGGAGTTGCCCAGCCTTGAATCCTCCCAAACCCTTCGTCTGCGTTGTGGTGAATGGGCAAACCAGTGGAAGGTTGCAAAGAGAAAAATGGGGGAAGCAAGAGTGAACTTTGTTATCGAGGGGGAAGAAGCGGGAAAGGATGAAAATAATGAGGGGGAAATTAAAATACGACTTTTACAGATGACACACAATTAAAATGTACTCCATGTTTTTGCAAATTTTTTGGATTATGACTATTAAATATGACACACATTATTGTAAGTCATAAATCGTTCATATTTTAAAAAACATTACATTCTTTTGACACACATTTTTTGCAAGTCATAAATTAGCGCGTGTCATCGTTCGTGTGTCATTAAAGGTATATTTTCTTGTAGTGTTTACTTCGAATTTTACACAAATTCCACCTCAATCTCTTATCCTTTTCTCCAACCATACCATTAAACTCATTATCACTTATCCAAACTAACTTACATCCATAAATCTCCTTTTAACATCCAAAATCTCCAAAGAACACTCGAAACTAAGAATCACACACAAATTCCAAACATGTTTTTAATCACTTCTAAGGCTCTCAATCTCTTATTTACTTCTTTGAAAAGTCAAATATGCCTGTAAACTCCAATAACTGACTCTATTTTATCAAATCACTTAAAAACCCATTTTATTAAATCTCTAATAAATCACTAATATCTTAGTTTTATTCACTCTTAAGCTTTCTTTAATCTTCTATATCACTTAAGGCTTCAAAACCAACCCATAAACGAAAGGAAAAACCTATTTGAAAGAATCTTACCTTTGGCTATGGAAGGCACGGGGCCGACGGGAAGAAGAAGAAGAGAACCAAGTTATTTTCAGTTTTCTTCCCTTTTTCTACTATTAAACCCTTAATAAATATCCCAAATAAAATGAATATTAAAATAATTTCCTTCTAAAAGACCAAAATGCCCCTCCATTCTTCCATTTTTACTAATAAGACTTAAACAAAATCTCTAAATTAAATCCTTGTACTTTTCAATTTATTCAAATTAACTCACTAAATTTTTAAATCCTTTCATTATGGTCACTGACCCGATGTTTGGGGTATTACAAGGTATAAAAATGGAAAAAATGTGTTTTGGTCCCTCTTATTTAGGCATCTTTTTATATTTTGGTCACTGTCATAATTTTTATTTTTTTCATGCTTAATTTTAGCAACTTTTTAATTGAGTAACTAATTTAGGATTACTGTTTTTTTGTTTATTTGGTTGTTGAATTTTATTTTCATTGCATGTTAGTCTCTTTTTGCATGTTTTTATCCTTCGTGAATTTGATGTTTAACTTTATTTCATATCAATTTAGCAAATAATTTTTTATTTTGAATGTGAGACTTTAATTATTGTTAATTTACATCTTAATGGGTGATTTGAATTATTTATTTTAATTTCTCATTTCCTAATTAATCATTTTATTTCTTATTTATCCATTTTTGTAATTTTCTCAATTTATGTATCTTATTTTATTTTAATTTAATCCTAGATTTTTAACTTTGTAGATTGAACCTTTAGATTTAGGTTTCTCTTAATTTAGTCATTAATTAGAACCTTAGACTTCAAGTTTAACCCTTTAGATTTAGATTCTTTTCACTTTAGCCCTTAGACTTTTAATTAGGTTTTCTCTTAACATAATTAATTAAGTTTTTAATTAGAACCTCTACATTAGGTTAGATTTCACTCTAGTATTTTAGTTTAGGGAATAATCTGAGTTGGCCTTCGCCTTCATGCTCAAGGGACCATCTCGATTATTTGATCCAATAACTGGTTTAAATTAAATAGGATTAATATTAGAGCCTCTAATTCTATGTTTAGTCCCTTAGGTTCTTTAAATCACATAAATTGACATTTTAAGTTAGAAAAAGCCTTAATCAACCCTTAGTTTAATTAGGTTTAATAATAAATTGTTTGATTCCATCATGTTTTCAAACCCAAGGCAATGTTCACTTATTAGGGAGTCAATAGTATATCTCCTGCAAGTATGCTCAGGGGGTGATTACAAGTGATTCCCGAAATAGATCGACATCCTTTTCAAACCCTGTCATTTTTCTAAAATTCCAAGACAATGTTCAATTATTGGGCATAATAATTGATCTCTCGCATTCATACTAGGGTGCGAACACTATTTCTTAAATAAACGAACATCCTTTTCAACTGTGCATCAATAGTGAATTTTCGATTAAAGAAAGTTCGAACTCATAATTTTCAATTTTAAATATCGGGTAACCAACTAGGTGTCGATTTTTTGGCGTTGTGGGGTGCTAATCATTCCCCACGCGTAACTGACTCCCGAACCCGTTTTTTAGTTTTCGTATTACCCTAAACTTGATATTTTGATAAAATAAAATGTTTTATTAAAATTACTCGATTTTTATGGTGTCCCAATTGCACCTTAAAATGATTGGTGGGACTCCTCACAATTTCAAAATCTTTTCAAAGAAAAACCCTCAAGTCGTACTAATTTTTTTCCATCCGAGCGAAAAACGGTGTCGACAATCATCCATGGTGGATTCCTAAAGGGGTTTACTTGAATGGGCGTGTCATTGAAATGACTAGCATTTTGTGTCCGTTTTTCCATGTTAGTGCTCTGCCTGATCATACCATTTTCAAGAGCCAGCCTGATGTTGGGTGAGTTTGGATGGTGATTTTGTGTTTGCGGTAATGCTTCTTTTAGCTGTGTGGTGTTAACTGAGAACGAGTATTAGCTCATTATGTATATATTTAACTATCATTTTAATCTGGTTCTATCATTTGAATATCTGATGCTAAAATTTTTGGAGTTCAAACTACTGTTTCAAATGCTAATTTGTTGTGCGATGTTAATTGAGAACGAATTTTACCTCATTATGACTATCAATTTTAATCTGGTTCTAGATTTCTAGTGGATCTGTGGATATGAGCAGATACAAGTAGTTATTGGAGAGTGGAAACTGCTTTGCTTTTGCACATTGTATTGAATATTAGGAAGCTTTTATATCTGGCTTTCTCGTATTTGTAAAAGGGAAGGATTATTCAGTTTTGGGCTGAATGACTTCTCAAACACATGGTTTAATTACCTTGTCTGGCCTGCATGGTGCTGTTGCTTAATATAGATATGCTGGTGGTATAGTGGGCTAGCAATGGCAGTCAATCGCTGCGTTTATCATTTTGATGATGTCAACTATTGGAGTCTTTGTTGAGGGCTGGCCCTAAGTTTTGTTGCTTGTTTGCTGTTATTGTCGACAAGTCACGATTGCTCCTCTCAATTTTTTTTTTCTGAGTGACCTCCAAATTTGGATTGATAATTTGCATTTGTTGAGTTTCTTAGTTTTGTTCAACGGTTTGTACTAAGTTGAGTTTTTTATAGGTCCATGTAATCTACTAAGTTGAGTTTAAAAGTTTTTTTCAATGGTTTGCTGTATTTTTTTTTTGTTTTTTGGTTTCTACTAGTAAGATCTCTTTTGCGTCTGAGAGATACTCGATGATGTGCTTGAGTGTATTTCATACAATGATGTTTGATGTCAATCTTTAGTTATTTGGAAGCGACTTGATTCTTAAAATTTTTATACCTCAAACATTGAAGTAGTGGATCATTGAATCTTCTTTGTATTCGTGTAATTACAGAAATTTTAAATTGTTGTCGAAGATTCATACCTTCGTGTGTTTCATAGTATAGTTTTTATGCAATTATTGTCATTTATATGACTTTTTCCCCCTTATATTAGCTTTTGTCTTGTAATGGGTTTTAGTTCTTGAAATTACAGCCAGCAGTGCTTCTCAGACGCATCAACTAGACGAGCGGCTGACTTGTTATCTTCATTCACCACAATCAAGACTCTCATGAATACTTTATACAATGATCTGGCCGATATTCTTCTGTCTCCTTAGAAACCCTGGGACTCTGAGAGCTTAACTATTGCTTCAAGAACTTGTTCTTTGGTTTATTCCACCTAAGAATGTTTTCCCTTTTCTTCTGATATGGTATTTCATAAAGGAACTCCAACAAGCAAGATGAAGAAATAAGCTTGACGATTGGAGACCGAAATGTATCATCCTAATTAAACATGCTGGATTTCCTCATCAACGGTTTAAAACCGAATCTCGAAGAATGCCGATAAAACTACGATCGACATGGCCCCGGGTCCAGATAATCGTACAGGTAACAGTAACTACAATGGTTTGTTCTGACGTTTCTTCGTAACGAAGCTACAGTTTCACCCACAATGAGTACGCTACTGCTGGGAAAGGATTTAAAGGAGAGGTTGAAGGAGATTGGTATGTCGAAAGATCGAATCCATTTGGATGGGTTGATTTTGCACTTAGCGAGGAAACCAGCGGAGGTGAAGAAAGAGTTGCTCTAGTATTTGGAGTCTCTTGAGAGGATATGAAGAAAGAGTAATTGTAGTTCTTCAGTCTTCTTATTTGTTGTAGCAGTGGAGGTGAAATATCGAAGAAGAAGGTCACATGTGGATTTTTTTTATTGCAAATTCAGATTTCCGTTAACGGAAATTAACGGTTGCATGATTTAAATCGAGAGAACCAATAATTTAAGGGACTAAACACATTTAATTTTTAAATTGATAATCAAATTCGATCGGACTAAAAATAAAATTGATTATTCATCAAGCACATATTTGGTATGCCATTGCTCTTAATTTTCATTTAGTATCAATTTTTATCAACTTTAGAGTTTAAATGTTTGTGCTCCATAAATCTGAAGGAACTTCGATCCAAAGAGGAAAAAACAAAGTCTGTCGAGCGTGATGTGGTAATCTGAAACACTTTGTGATTTCGGGATATTTAATGAGTGTAGTTGTATTCTAGAGCCACTCAGTATCATTTCAATTTAATTTTATATTATTTCTCGCATGAGAATTCATTTATTTACTTTTATCACATATAGAACACTCAATGGTAAATTGGGCGTTAAGGTAAGCTGGGTAAATTGATTCATCTTCGGATGTAATTCATGATGTTATGTTGTGTTAAGTTTCATTTGATTATGATATGTGTTGTGCAAGCACGAATTAAGCTAAGATTATGATGTTGAGAAGGGCTTATAAGCTCATCTACCTTACTTTGTAAGGTAAGATTTAATGTGATAAGTTTGCATTATGAATGCCCTTTGATGATAAGCTTAATGATTATATGCTTAATTTTATAGTGTCTATTGAACTCATGTCTGGATTTGAATTACGATTCATTGACTAAGAAGAAGGAAGTTGTGAGTCTTTGAGGAAGAGGAGGATGACCATTCTCAGTTAATTAGTGAAAATTAAAGAATTTATATATCCATTGCTATTTATACTGTAATGGACTTAACGGTGGAACAAAGGAGAGACTAGTCGGGCCATGAACCCCCTAAAAATATTAAAAAATAAAGGATAAATTGCATATTTAGTATTTAAATTATTACTTTTGTTCAGTTTTGGTATCAAACTTTATTTTTTTTTCAAAATAATAATAAATACTAGTTTAGATTTCGATTTGGTATTTCATAGTTAAAAACTCAATGATGATGCTGACGTGTCATCACAAGATAATACTATATCATTATTGATTTTTTTAAAAAAAATATCACATCAATAGTTTATGTTAATTTTTTAATGGTGAGATACTAAATTGTTAGGTGTTTTTTTAAAATAAAATAAAATTTAGATACTAAAATGGAATAAAATAATAATTTAAGTATTCAATGTACAATTTACCTAAAAATAAAATGTATATATTTACATACATACATACATACATACATATATATATATATATATATATATATAATATATATATATATATTAAATTTGATCCTTTCAAAGTTGTATCATAAATTACTATTTTTTTATTAAACTAAGGTGATTACAAAGTAGTATATATTCTAAATACTCTCAACTATCTGACAATGAACGCTCAATCACCCTGCTACAACCACTATTGTTCTAATTCGTGACCTATAGAAACAACAACAATTCCTTTAAAGAGGTAAGTTGGTCCGTGCAAAAAATTTAAATATCTAAAAAGCAAATGTATCCACTTAAATGTCATTTATTAGAAGAAACTAACATTCATTTTTTTGCATTATCCTTTTTTTAAATGAATGAAAATCTATTTTTTTATTTTTAATTTTAAGATAAAAAATATATATTTTTTCATGTTTGATTGTTCATCTTGTTTAACATGTTCATCTTAATCAAGTTATTAAGTATTTAACTCTTAATTTTATTTCAATTGAATGTAGTCTTTTTAAGGCTTAAGGGCTACTTTTTCTTAGGTAGCAGACTCAATTTATCATTTTCATCTCTATGGTATGTTCGTATCAATTTAACCCTTAAAGTTGTTTTATCACAATGTTTAAAATATTTACTATTATTTTTTTAAGTTAGTGTTTAGGGTTTAATGTTTAGGGGTTAGGGTTAGAGTTTAGGATTTTAAGTTAGGGGTTAAGGTTTAGGGTGATACAATTAAACAATTTCGAGGACTAAATTGATGCGAAAATATCATAAGAGTAAAAATAATGAACATGGTCTACTATAGGGGTAAAACTTAAAAGTAACCTTTAAGCCTTTTTTTAATATTTTACAATTTATTTTATATTTATAGTTTTATTAGAAATCTATATATGTTACATGGGTTAATGAATTTTCATCTCTAAAAATATAATTTTTTTTATTAATATAGGGTGATTACAAGTAGTAGCTAGTATTTGTTCTAGAGAGACTCAACCATTTGACAATGAAACTTAAATATTCTGTTGTCGTTGGTGCTCAAACTCGGTACCTATATGAATAAAAAATATAAAATATTATTAAGAATATTAGCAATGTTAAAACTTTATTAAAGTTATTTGACACTGTTAATGAATTCGAAAAATTTAATTTCCTTGCTGTACATTTCAAGTCATCACATCAAAATTTGTTGGTAAACTTATATCTCAATGTTCAATATAAAAATTTTCTTCAATTCCTTTTCATACATCTAATTTGTAACCCTCCTTGCTTTGCCAAAAGGATATCTGAAAAGGGTAATCTCATTTCCCTGCAAAAAAAAAGGAACCACACGTTTTCATTAAGTTTTCTTTTTAATTCAATTTGAGTTCGATTGATTGTTTTTGAAATGCTAAACTCGATTTTCTCAAACTCGAATCGAATTGAGTTACGTATTATAGTCCTCGAATTTGATCTTATTCAATAATTTAAACTATTCGAGCAAAACACAATATGACAATAATGATTTTGATTCAAGCTCAAATTTAAATTAAACAATATATTATAGATTTGATTTACTTAATTAATCGGACTATTTAGTTATGAGCTTGACAACAATAATAAAATTGAGTTTGAAATATTTATTATATTAGCGTTGTACATAATCACGGTTAACAAAAATTTTCCTCCATCAAAATAGTCATTGATCAAGTTTATGGGTAAATTACACCTTTAGTACCTAACTATTATTTTTATTTCATTTTAGTCACCCAACTATTTTCTTTTAAAACCATACATAATGATACATTTTGGTTTAATGTTGGATACTCATCACTAAAATATTAACAAAATACTGACGCAAATTTTTTTTAAAAAAAATTTAATGATGATGTGACATTGTTTTATAGTGATACGTTAACTTCACCGTTAAAAAATAAGTGATCGAAATGAAACCGAAACGCAATGCTATGTATGATTTTGAAATAAAAAGTAATTGAGCAATCCAAACGAAGCAAAAATGATAATTGGGATACTAAAAATGTAGTTTACCCTAAAAAATTAAATATTCGGTTGATTTTTTTAAATGAGGGTCTAAAACACCAAATTTAGATTAAGTTGTGGGCATAAGTGCCTTGTTTCAATCCCTAAATCACCTTTACCCAAACTTGTTCTTCGAGCTGCTTGCCGGATTTGGTCTTCATTCCTTTGCAGGAGTTCATCAACTTGATCCAATTCAAAGATTAACGGCCCCGAATACCTAACCTTTAACTGATGAATGGAAACCTAGATTAATTAAGAGCAATAATAATAATAAAAAGTGAAATTTTGATTACATTTTTACGATGAATTACAGATTGTTGAAACTGAATTCTCACCTTGTTTTTGTGTTTAGTAGTCAGGTCGTCAAGAGGAAACACATCAATGGCGTCAAAGAAATCTGCTTTCTCAAGATTGTTTTGCGCTTCATTATCAATTACGCCTTCAGAAACATCTTGATTCTCGTGTTTTGATGAACTAAAGATGTTATCTGCATTTCTGAAGATGAAGCTCGATGAATCTGGATCATTTATTTCACTGATCGAACTCGGTTGGTTGTAAGAAAGCGTTGATTTCACATCTCTTTGCTTCTTTGCCCACGCAAAGCTGTTCGATACAGTCGCCTGTGGCGGACCGGTGTAAATATCGCCTCGAGATACCGTTGTCACTTGCGATGTCTCCGATCGCGTATCGACTGATTGATTCAGATCTTTGGGGTTCGGATTATTTGCGGTAACTTCATTGTTTTTTCCATCGGATCGTGCATTGGCCTGCTGTTCCTGCATGTACAGAATGTGAAAAATACATAGTCATTAGGTGTTTGTGTTAATGCCTGAGTGGATCAGCTTCAGTTTTGAGAGTTGCAGAGACTTCTGTCGCCACTGTTTTATTGTCATTGTTAGATTCTTGCATCGTTTTACGAGGTCTTCTTGCTTTTCTTGTTACTCCCACCGGATCTCTAAGTTTAGCTCCGAACTTCTTCCTGAATAAGACAGGATATTAGACGCCGAGAAACTAACAATGAAGCGAACTAACATGGGATCCGAGCTTAACTATAAGCATGCAATGAACTAAATTCAGCTGAGAAGTTCACCTTCGTAAGTGGTCTCGTTGTTTGGCGTCGATTTCCTTATTAGGCGAATACTTGGGCATGCTTGTAGGGTCACAGGGGTATGGCTTCGTGTGGAAATACTGAAACAATCGAGAATTTAAAACAGATCATGACCCCGAACATAGACCACGCCAGAAAAACAGATCATGGACATCAAATAATCAAGAACTGAAAGCAGAATTCATTAATGGCGGTAGGGCATTGGTGTTTTTTTCTTCATTTTTGTTACCTCGGACGCAAGTGAAGCAGATGCAGACCCGCGCTTGTGGGGTTCAATGGAAAGCAGACTTTCCAACAAGTTCAATGCAGTTGCCGGGATTTCTTTGCACCTTTGTCGGAGACAACTTTCGTACTGATGTTGGGGCTTAAACATTGTGGAATGAGGAAGCTTGAGCCTTTTCCAATACTCATCTGGTGGCGACCCACATAGTTTGAAGATTTTATGGAGTTGTTCAACCTGCCAAAATCACATCAGTAAGAGTTCCGGATTCGCATTATGAGTATATATTCGACACAAGTATTTTCATTGTCCTTTAAAAGTCACCTCAGTTATGCCTTTAAGAATAGGTTTGCCCATAAGAACTTCAGCAAAAACACAGCCAACGCTCCATAGATCCACCGAGACATCATAACTTGTGGATCCCATCAAAAGCTCAGGAGGGCGATACCAGAGAGTGACGACTCGACTGGTCAATTGATTTTTGTTCTTCGAGGTTAAGATGTTTGCCAATCCGAAATCCCCCAACTTCATAACACCTTCGTTGTTCACCAGAATGTTGGATGCTTTGATGTCTCTGTGCATTACACCTTGCATATGGCAATGCTCAAGCGCCATCAATAGCTGCTTCATATAGCACTTCACCTACACAATTAAGGGAAATCTAAACTGAGCTTTTTTTTTTATTAAGCTAAGGTGATCGTTCAATCATATTCCCGTACTCATGCCGGGCTCTGAAGTACGTGTTAGTCGATGATACCGTAAGAAAAATGGACAGAAGAAAAATCTATGGTTTGAACATATATGTATATCAAGAGTAGTAGAACCGAACCTGAGCCTCGCTGAAGTTGATATCCGGACAAGATGTTAGACCCGAAAGATCATGTTCCATGTACTCGAAAACAAGGTATATAGCGCTTGAAAACCTTGACGTGATCACCCCTTCCAATTTCATGATATTCGGATGGTTCAATCTGCGGAGGATCATTATTTCCCGAGCCATAAACCGAATGCTTTCGGGTTGAAAGTTGTCAAACCGCACCTTCTTCAAGGCAACCATCCTCCCCGTTTCGATTTCGCGTGCTTTGAACACACTACTGTACGTTCCTTGTCCGATCTGCAAAATAATAAGGGTATGATTGAGTTCATATTATCATATATATATATATATGGAATGTTGAAAATGTTAAAAACCTTGTCCAGTTTCTCAAAAGAAACAGCCTGCAAAGGAACCCAACCATGAACAGCTTCAGCAGCGGCTGAGCTAAGCCAAGAAGGCCAACCGGCGGCGACATGTTCAGCCTCCAGAAGCCTCTGAGAAACGCTTAATTTGAAGCTAAAGGAGCCGCTCTTCCTACCAGAACCCTTCTCCCTCTTTGATTTCTTCAACTCCCGGTTTCTCATCTGGTTAATGATCCTACCGTTTTCCTCCAATTTCTCATCATCTCCATCAAGCTTCACCCCCCCAGATTGTTGCTTGTTTGATGAAGAAAACGATAAGCCATGGCTGTTTTTGCGGAGCACCGGAGCAGGGGAGGCTGCCACCACCGTCCTGTCATCGCCAGCATCGCCATGTTTGGAGCTAATGCAACCCATTGTTGAGCTCGAGAAACCAAGATTGACCCAGATCAAGAAAACAGGTCTGGGTCAAAATGGGCAATCATCCCCTCATCAGAAAACAAATGGAACCATTTTTAACCCGGGGAGAGAAAACAAAGAGAGATGGGGGGGGGGACGGAAACAGAGTTACCGGGAAGAAACAAAAACAGAGGGAAAACAGGGGAAATTGAAAGCAAAAAAAGGGATTTTGTTCACGAGATCTGCGGAGGGAACGTAAGAATTAGCAAAGGAAAAGAGATGGAAAATGGGAAAGATTGGAGAGATTCGTGGGTCCATAATGGAAATTTTCGGGTTTTCTTGTTCTTGCAAAAGCTTTCACGACATGAATTTACGTGTAGTTTGATATTCAATCTAGCTTTTTAGACTGTCACGGATACGTATAGGATATCCATCATACGTCAGATCGGAAATGAATTCTAATGCCGTATATAGTATATTAAATGGGCTGATTTGTTGTCGAGTTGTGAAAAAAAATATTTGTTGAAATAAAGTTTAATTAAAATTATCTGTCGGAAGTTTGGAAAGTCGTCGAGAGGACTGGACTACATATGAAGGTTTCGATTAAAAGTTTAATTACTGATTTAGGTAATCATTGTTATTTATGAGAAATCAAGGAAACTAATGTTTGAACGTTCGGATGACTTGACGACTTATGGAGGTTTCGACTAAAAGTTTAATTACCGATTTAGGTAATCACTGTTACTTATGGGAAATTAAAGAAATTAATGCTTGAACGTTTGGAGGATTTGGAGACCTATGGAGGTCACCCAGAAGACCTGGCAACCAACTTTTGAACTGTAGTAAATACTCTAAATGAGAAAATAATTATTGGATTGCATTATTTGAAGAATTTTTTTTTATTTCAACTCATTATCTCAAGAAATTTGACTTATTAAATGCTTATATAAAAATAAGTACTGAAAGAATATTTATTAATTTTTCGTTTATGTGATTAAAGTTTTTTTAAAATAATATCTAAAATTATCTTCTTAGTTAAAATAGATTTTAAAATAATTTTTTGTTAAAATAGTATTCAATTTTTTATTTAAATATCTACAATATTTTCTAATTAATGTCAACTTTTTTAAAACTTAAATAAAAAAAAGTTAAATATTTTAAGTACTTATTTTGATCAAAAAATAAGTTTGAATACTTATTTTGACAAAAAAAAATATTGCAGGTACTTAGATAAAAGAAAGAATATAGTTTAGATATTTATAATATAAGCCTTTATTAAATTTAAAGGTAAACCACGTCAAATACTACTGAATTTTAAACGGTATATCGTTTGTATCAAAGGATTTTTTATTATCTTCAATTATAGCATCAAACTTTGGTTTTAACTACAATTATGTCATTGTATCGTTAAATTTTAACGGCATGATTTAATGCCCAAAAGGATACTGTTTTAGGCACTATTTTATAGGAGTACATCGATTTTGCTACTAAACTTTAAAAATGTTTAATTTTTCACACTAAATTTTTCTTATCATCGTTGGCAGTCAATCGTCGCCCATCATCATTTGTCTTTTGCAGCAAGATCGGTATCAAAATGTTTGTCTTTCATTCATCTTTTTTCTTTTTCAATTGGTTTCCCATGAATCATAATTGAAATCAATGAAATTCATTTTAAAGTTCAACTTCCTAATAGATCTCATCCAATTGTCTTCCAATGAGGCTATCTCTACGCTATGTTGTTCACATTCTCTTAATAATTTTACTCATTGTTCAGATTTTCGAACAAATACCCCAAATCCCTCAAATCTAAGAAAACCCTCAAACCTCTAAAATTGGTGGGAGGTTTTAGTTTAATTTCGTTAATTTTGAGAGAGTTTCAATTAAAATCAATCTTAAAAAAGGAACGATAACTGAAATACGAACGTTTTGATATTGATATTGTCGCCAAATGTGACCGGTGATGGGAAAAGATTGGCAAAATTAACTCTAAAGTTCAATGCTTAAAACAACATCGTTTTAGGCATCAATAACTACACAAACGATGTTGTTTTGTCCATGTCATCACATTGTCTGTATTTTAAGGGCCTAATGGAATAATTGAAGTCAAAATCAAACTTTACTACTGAATTAAATAAATTAAAAGTTCAATAATATAAATTATATATCACCTAAAATTTAGTGGTATCTAGTTTATTTTACCCTAAATTTAATTATTGTATGCTTTTCATTTTTTTTTCAAAATTGAATTTGAATTCATCTTTATCTAGTTATATTATTGATCTATTTTTAATTTAGAATTTTAAATTTATCTTTTTGTATTGATAGATGCTCACAATCATCTAATATTATTGTGTCACTATTACTGTGTCATTATCGTTATATTTATTTTTAGGGTAAACTACATAAATAGCCACATAACTATAGAATAGGTCGCAAAATGACCACCATTTTCAAATTTGTGTCAATATGAACAATGAACTATTTAAATGGCTTCAATATAGCCACCTCCCGTTAACACTTAATGGAAGTGTCTGTGGCAATTAACAAAATTGGTATAATTAGGGCACGAGTCCTTGTAAAGTTACGTATTTGTGACATTGAAACCCTGGTTTGTTTTCTTCAATTTTGGTCAGTACTTGTGTATGCTTTGTTTCCTTGGATTTTCATTTAATGCAATTTGATTCTGATTCTATTTTTAATTTGTCTAATTCCTTAATTTGATCATTAACTTTAAAATGTTTTATTCTAGTCATGTATTAAATTTATAGATTAAATCACCTAGATTTTAGAATTAATCAATTTGATCACCAAAATTAACTTTAATTCTTCAATTTTAATTAGGTCCTAATCTCAATTTAATTTAATAAATTTATTTCTGTAATCAAATTGTGACACATGTCAAAATCTGATTAGATATTTTTTAATTTTAATTTAATAAATTTTTAATCCAATCAAAAGGTGACACATGTCACCTTTTTAATTTAAAAATATTAAAATCTTAAATTAATTATAAATAATATATTATATTTTTTGGCAATTTAAGTTTTATCATATTATCAATTGGCCTAGATTTATGTCCTAACTTGTCTATTTATATAATTAACTATAATATATAATATATAAAAAATATTTTAATTGATTCCTAAATATTAGATTTAGCCTATTGGTTAAGGCTTTTCTTGGTTACTAACTAATCTTGGGTTCAAATGCAATTAAGTTATTTTAGTTTTATTTTTTCTACTTAAGCTTGAACAAGTTATATGACATATGTATTATCTTGATAACAATTGTGAGAATTGGCTCAACGATTAATTCTAAAATCTAGGAGATTTAATCTATAAATTTAATACATGGCTAGAATAAAAGATTTTAAAGTTAATGCTCAAATTATGGCATTAGACAAATTAAAAGCATAATCAGGATCCAATTGGATTAAATGAAAATCCAAGGAAACAAATCATATACAAATAGTTACCAAAATGGAAGAAAAAAAATAGGGTCCCAGTGTTGCAAATATGTTACTTTATAAGGACTCGTGTCCTAATTATACCAATTTTGTTAACTGTCACATAGTCACTTCTGTTAAGTGTTAACAACTGTTAAGTGTTAACAACATGTGGCTCTATTGAAAATATTTAAATAGTTCAGTGGTCATATTGATGCAAATTTAAAAATGGTAATTATTTCGTGACCATTTTTTCGAATTAACCGAATTAACTGACCGAACCGAATTAGTTCGGTTAATTCGGTCGGCCACCGAATTAGTTTGGTCGGTTAATGGTTAATGATTTTTTTGGATATTCGGTTAACAATTAATTCGGTTTGAAATCGGTTAATTAACTGAATTAACCCTTAAATATTCTTTAATATTTTTTTACCCCTATAGTATACTACCCCCCACTTCATTTATGTGCTCCTCGTTTATCAATTCTTTTCTGCCTTGATTTGTGTAAGGTATGGGCACGAGATGGGCAGGTGGAGTATGGGCAAAAGTGTATAGTGGAGCATGGGTGAGGCAGCACCATAGGGCTACGCTTTTGAGGGGTTAGGAAGTATGGAGCATGGGAAAAAGTGTATATTGTTGTTTCAAAGTATCAATTTTAAGGTATTTGCACTGAAAGAATATTTTCATATGCTTGTCTTTTGTGTTATAAGTATCATGGAGGAACAAATTTTGGTCAAATTGTTGGGGGTCCTTTTATTGCTACTAGCTATGATTATGATGCTTCGCTCGATGAATACGGTAAGCTCAAAGTATCAATTGTGCATCTTTTCCCATGGATTTTCTAATTTCTTTTGTCTACTTGATTTGAACTGTACATTCTATGCCTTTTACCATTCATATCGAGTGTGAAAGTATAGTTTAGGGATTATATCCTTGATGTTGATTTGAACGAGAATCGGTTCTTGTCATACAGGACTGTTGAGGCAACCGCAACCCAAGTGGGGCCATTTGAAAGATTTGCATAGAGCAATAAAGCTATGTGAACCAACTTTAGTATATGGAGATCCCACACTGATGCAACTTGGAACTGATCAGGAGGTTAATATAACTTGTATTTCTAAGAACCTCAATCCTACTTTTGATTACTTTGTCTGCAAGACTTAAATATAAATTTCATTCTAAACTTACAGGCTCATGTGTTCAATTATAAATCTGAAGGTTGCGCCACCTTCCTTGCAAATTACGACACAAATTCATTTGCAAAAGTTGCCTTTAGGGACATGCACTATAACCTGCCACCCTGGTCTATCAACATTCTTCCCAACTGCAAGTATATTGTGTATAACACTGCTATAAAAGTTCCCTATCATTGATGTTAGTCTTTTGTTTCTTCACCGTTTGCTCTGCAATTCTATTTGCTGCATTTTGTAAAAATCTATAGGCTTTTAACTCATATTCTATGTTTTCCTATCAAAATAATAATAATTATATTAAGAGAGGCCAATCCATTTAAAACTCAAATCAATATTAATTAATTAAAATAATATCAAAACTAAATGCAAACGTTTGAATTAAATTAATTAGATATTATTTAAATTAATTGTAAATTGTTTTTTAATTAAAAAATATTAAATTCTAAAATTCTAAAAAAAATTGGTTAATTCAAAAATTAACCGAATTTTATTCGGTTCGGTTATTACTTTCAAAAAAAAGTTCGGTTTGATTAACGGTTAAACAAAAAAAATTTGATTAGTTCGGTTAAGGGTATTTCAGTTCGGTCGGCCACCGTTTTAACCGAATGAACACCCCTAGTACTTTTCTTTCATAGTCAATGGTATTATTTGTTTGTATTTTTAAAAAAGAAAAATTATTAAATTATTAATTATTTTTGTATATGATCTTATTTTTTCTATTCAACAAATAATTTATGTTCTTTAATGATTTTAGAGTAAATGACTGGTTAATATGATTTTTTTAACTTATTTTTTTATTAATTTTTTAAACAATTAAGATATTTTTTATAATTCTTCTCTATTTATTCAATAAAAATTAATTAAATATATTAATTAAAAAATAAATAAAATAAGTTTTAATATTTATATATTTATATTATATTTGTAACACTCTCAACCCATATCCGACCCGAATATGAGGTGTCACATTGACTTTTCAAATTTTGAATCTTGACAAAATTCAAAGAAAATTTAAAACTTTCATTAAAATAAAAGTTGTTTATTTACATAAATTGACTAAAATAACCAAAATCGATCAGAGCATATTCAACTCAATCAATTAGTACATGCCAACTATATCTTTAATAACCAAATACATTTAAATCATCATTTTTCTGATCTGAAACTTTTTAAGGGAGATGTTAACATGTTTTGCTCTTCTTCGCTTCTATTCTCGCTTCTGTAACCTACGTGTGAAATAATCACACGCTAAGTCTATGACTTAGTGAGGCAATAAACATATAATGTAACTATAACTTGTAATCATGCATGAACTATTACTGTTATCACTCATACCCTTATTCATGTAACAAATGCTTATAACACATATATAATATATCATTACATATAAGAACATATATACACACATATACTCATCATTTCCATCATTAGCCTCATTTCATTATCAATATCATTATTATTTATCTCACTTCGTATATATCCTCTTATACCTAGTATTTTACCCCACATTTGACTCATTTAATCATACAATCCACATATCATCATATAAATCATATAATAAAATTCATAGCACAAAAGCATACAAATCACATGTAATATGTTTGTTGTTATTTATTTATTAGGCCATGTACACATGTGAGAACTATAGATATGTGAGTCTATAGAGGTTGTGCACAAATACTGTCACCACAGCTCATATAAATGCACCTAAGTGCCACGTAAAATTGTACCGAAGTGCCGCGTAGAATTGTATCGAAGTGCCATATAAAATATCCATGAGGACCACGTAGAAAATTCCTTAAGAATCATATACATATACAAAGGATCAAGTATGTGTCTCAAAAGACATCACACATGTTCCAAGGAATACATATATGTCCCGAAGGACCGCGTAGACCCTCGACTCTTGGCATGCCAATTAAACCCCTAGCTCTCATGACACATAACATGGGCATTATTATCTATGTCATTTCATATTCACACATTTATAACACTTATTTCTTATCGCATGTTTGGTCTCTTATAATCATGTAATCACATAGTTCATGTCATTTCATATTCACACATTTATAACACTTATTTCTTATCGCATGTTTGGTCTCTTATAATCATGTATTCACATAGTTCATGTCATTTCTTGTGAAATCATACATATCATGTAAGACATATCAGACATGTACACACAAATCACTTCCATATAATTCACATGATTTATTATCTCGTAGATCATATCACATTTTCATACAATTTCACAATTCATTGTCATATATGGATATCACATTTGTACTTAATCACATAGATAATGTTATATAGCATTAAAATCCCACAGTTCCTATTTCGTAGCTTATATATTGTTCTTATATCATTTTATAGACATATAAACACCTAGATCATAATTCCCTAATTTATTATACATAATCATATCATCATTTATATTCATAACCCCTAGCTCATATTTTGTTCTCTTATGCTTACATAGATCCTATAACATATATTGTAGCATACTAACATATATCACTTATATAAATTCATTTATATACAAATTTCTTATATTTTCTTAATTCAAGTTTACATTACTCTTATAATCTTTTCCTATGACTTCATAGATCTTTACCATGTAATTTCTATATCGTAGCTCATCTAAGCACATCAATCTTTCTCATACAGCTTATCTCTCATATGATTATCATTATTTATGTACAAATCTCCTAATTGATATTCTATTTTCATATTATCCTATAAATCAATGCTAGTTAGTTTATCTCACTTTTCATTTAATATTATAAGTAAATTATAATAGTTTCCATAAACTTGACTCGTGTAATTTATGTTTTACTATTATATCTTCATCTAAACATATATTTACATGTTCATGATCACTTAACTTATTGTCTTTCTATGGTTATCACATACAACATTTACTATTATACATGATTCGTGACCTTATAACTTATTTCACATATTCATACAGCTCATAAGGTTCACATATAGTTACATATTTCGTTTCCATATAACCCATATCATATAAATTCACACCTCATAACATATAATATGAACAAAGCATATACACATAATACAAACTTAATCATGCTTCTATTCATGTAAACATATAAAATATTGGAAACAGATCACTTATCGCAAGTCTAATTTCCATATAATAATATGCACAATCTAATAATATGCACTCACCTTGGCCTCACTAAGTTCCAATCCACTTTTATGATTTCCTTTCTTTCGATCGAATGTTGACTTGATAATCGTTCGGGAACTTGTTCGTGCTCGATATCTATATAATCATACATTGACACATATCAGTATCCAATTGATATATTCTAATCTATCATTTCTTAGACCAAAAGAAATGTCTATTTCAATTTCCCCTTGAAGTGCATCGATGCATTCTACAGTGCATCGATGCATTCTTTAACATGTGCATCGATACACTAATCACCTTCGATGTTTTCATTTTAAGGGGTACATCGATGCACTCCTTATGCATCGATGCACTAATTGCATTCAATGTTTCCATTTTTAATGGGTGCATCGGTACACACTGAACAATTTTCTGGAAATACCCTTGATGCATCGGTACACATTGAATGTGCATCGATGCACATAGCCCAGAATTCATTTTTAAGCCCGAAAATCACTCCAATTCTACTTAAACACTTCATATTACATCCTCTACCATATTCTTAACTCTCATATACATACTTAAACTCATTCATACTCCTTTATCACCCCTTTAAATCTCAAAATTCCTTTCTCCCTATGGAAATCAATAATCATACCAATTTTACAATATGTTCTTAATTCAATTCTATCACTTCATATCTCTTAATAAAGTTGATGACAAGTCAAATTTATCTTCCAATTTGAGTAATGAATTCTATTCCAAGATTTCATTTTAAAACTTTTAATCTTTAATCTCTCCTAACTCCACCATCCTGTGCTTTTAAGATGATTTAAGCTTTCTTTAAGCTTAATTATCATCTAATGATCATAACCCAACCTTAAAATCAACAATTAATCCACAAACAAAGAACTCACCTTTGAGCTTGGAGATACGGGAGGAGAGGAAGAAGAAGGAAGAAGAAGTTCTGGAGAAATCATTCCTTCCCACGTGGTTCCCTTATCTTATAAAGAGAAATAAAAAACCTTCCTTGTCAAATGATCATTTTGCCCTTTAATTCCTTTAATAATTACTAGCAAATTTTAAGAAATATTTCCAGATAAATCATTGAACTATTCAATTCTTCTACTTTAGTCACCAAATTATGAAACTTTACAATTTAGTCACTAACCCGATATTGCGGATGCTACAATATTATTATTATATATTTGTTTTTTATATAAATATACATTTAGTATTGAAATCCAAGCTCAACCAATATTACTCTAAAACTTTTTACTTATTTAAATGATTTGTTTAATTTATAATCTTATTAATTTATCTCTAATACATAAATATCATTATTTTTTTAACGAAGCACCTAAATTATTTAGTTTATCAGTTTATTTTACATTTTTATTCCCACTAGTTAAATACTTTTGGAGCTACAATAATATTTTTTTGAAAAATTATTATTTTTTAATATAATAATAGCATATAAATTTGCTTTAGAAAAAAGTAAAAGAGTTTATTTTAGTACTTTTAAATTTTAAATATGTATTACATAATAACTCAAAAAGTTAATCTATACCGTATCATTAAAGTTATCCCTAGGGATGAGTATGGGTCGGGTCGGGTTTTTGGTCTACCCGACCCGATCCGAGAACAAGGAATCCTCCACCAGAGACCCGATCCGACTCGACCAAAATAAGATTTCACCCAACTCGATATATAATTTAAAAATCCGATCCGACCCGAAATAATAAAAAATATTATTTTTATTCAATAAAATATAGTGACTTAATTGAAAAAATAATATATAGAGAGAGATATTATTGTAATTTTTCCTAAATATATAAAGTAAAATTATATTTTTCGGGTTGAGTCGGATATTTTTCACCCTAAACTTGAACCCGACCCGAACACCACAATTAAAAAATCCGACCCAAATCCAATTTTTTTTTTAAAAAAACTAACCTGATCGGGTCGGGTTCGGGTCTCATGCCCATTCCTAGTTATCCCCTAAGAATGTAAATGCAAAATTTTGATTTAAAGGGTTTAAAATACA